TTACAGCGAGGCCAAATGCTGTCTGTCTAGATGGAAATTGCCAATCAATAAAACCGCCTTGCAGCAGCAGCAGCAGCTGCTGTTGCTGCTACCTTTGTGCATCTGCCTCATGTCTATGTGCCCTCTGGAATACAAAAAAAGGAACCTTCAAACGGGCTCCCTAGGAACTGAACAGGGTCACTTGGGGGCCCCCTGGGGGCCCTCCTGGGGGCCCTTGGGGGCTCCCATGGGGGCCCCCCGGGGGCCCCCGAGGGCCCTCGAGGGCAACAGCTAGTATAAGAGGTCCCTTGAATCTGCTGCAAGGGCCTTCAGATGTGGAACCGCTGCAGCAGCAGCTGCTGCTGCTGCTGTTGCTGTTGTTCGCCGCTTGTGTTGGTTGCTGCTGCATGTTACAAGAGCACGGGCTCCTGTTGCATGCTGCAGCAGCAGGGGCTGCTACTGCGTGCTGCAGGAGCACGGGCTGCTGCTGTTGCCGAAGCAGCAGCAGCAAATCGTGAGCCCAGAAGTGCTCTTGAAAGGCTCTTGAGGCGGCCAGGAAAGGAGAAAAGCAGACACAAGCAAACGAGCTGCAGCATCGGGCCTGCTGGTACGGCTGCTGCTGCTGCTGCTGTTGCGGCAGCAGCCGCTGCTACTCGGCTGTTGCTGCGGGAGTCGACACTGTTACTCTGCTGCTGCTGCTGCTGCTACTCTGCTGCTGCAGTCGTTGAGGTTGCTCTTCTGCTGTTGCCGCTGCTCGAGCAGCCGCTGCTGCTGCTGCTCAGAAGGGACAGAAGATGAGCTGGAGAAGGACGCTGGCTGCTAGGCAGCAGACGAGGTGTACACTAGCAGCAGCAGAGAAGGCAGCAAAGCCAACTGCAGCGGCGAGCTGCAGCCACAAGCAGGGAGAGCAGCAAAAGCACAAATAACAAACAGCAAATAAGTAACAAAAATAAACAGTTACTTTAATTACTGTTATTATTTTATATAATAATATTTATTAACAAAAAAACAGACACAACTTAAGAAGCTGCGCCACACCTGGAGAGCTGCGCATACAGTCAAGCGCTGTGTGCAGTTGCAGAAGCAGCAGCAGCAGCAGATGCTGCTGCTGCAGCAGCGTGTGTGCTGCTGCTGTCGGTGCAAGCGGCTGCTGCTGTCTGCCCAGGCCCTGAGTGCTCTGCTGCTGCTGGGCCCGTCGCTGCAGCGCGTGCTGCTGCAGTCGTTGCTGCCGTCGCTGCTGCAGCCTGTTGCAGCTCCGTTCCTGCTGATGTCGCTGCGCTGAAGCAGCGCAGCAGCAACCGCCCCGAGCCTCTGGCTCACGAAGAGACACAGCGGCAGCAAGCAGCAGAAGTAAGCAGCAGCAAACTTGTCCTGTGCTGCAGTCTGTCCCCAGAAGCCCCGCTGCAGCAGCTGCACTGGCAGCAGTCGCTGTAGCCACGCAGGTGCAGCAGCAGCTGTACGTACACCCCAAGCCAGAAGCAGCGAGTCCTGCAGCTCCGGTGCTGCTAAGGCTGAGTCTGCCAGCAGGTGGGCCACAGTGCCATCTGCTGCAGCAATCTGAGCAGCAGCAGCAGCAAAGCAAAATAATGAAATTATAAAATGTAATTTAATTCATTCTAAATAAGCCAAATAACTCGAAGCAACGCACGCGCTGCAGCAACAACGGCGGACGCTCAACGCCCACCGACACACTTCAGCAGCAAAATAAAAACGAAAATAAATAAATTAAAATTAAAATTAAAATTAAAAGTAAAATATAAAAGAGAAATTGAGAGATGAAAGAAACGCCGAAGCAAAACGACAGCAGCAGAAGACAGAACGAAATGCAGCAGCATCAAACGGAAAACAAGCTTCTCTTTGCTGCTCTTTCCTCATTTATTTATTTATTTTTTTTTTATTGTTTTAATTCAATTGACATTAATTATTCCGAAACCAAAGAAGAAAGAAAAGACGCAAGTGCAAAAAAAGTTCGAGAAAAATATCCATTAGAAAGAATCGGAAATGGCATTAATTTGAATTAAACAGATGAGAAATGGCATTAACTTGAATTAAATAAATGGGAAATGGCATTAATTTGAATTAAGCAGATGGAAAATGGCACTAAATTGAATCACATAAATGAGAAGTGGCATTAATTTGAATGGCATTAATTTGAATTGAATGGGAATGGCATTGATTTCAATTAAATAAGTGGGGAATGGCATTAAATTAAATTAAATTAATTTGGAAGCAAATCAAACTCACGAGGCTTTTGCCCTCCTCAGTTTTGGTGTGCAGCTGCAGCAGCCGCAGCACAGCGAAGCCGCTGCACAGCAGCAGCAGCAGCAGCAGCAGCAGCGGCTGTACGTAAGCCGCCACCACGCAGCTCTGGCGAAACTCCCCCGCTGCCCACGCAACCACGCAGGGCCCCCTGTGGCCCCGCGTGGTGCTGCTGCTGCTGCTGCTGCTGCGGCGGCGGCGGCGGCGGCAGCAGCTGTTGCTGCTGGAGTGGTAGCTGCATCGGGGCTTCGCAGCAGCAACTGCACCAGAGCCCTGCTCGAAGAAGAACAGGCCTAAAGTGCAGGGCACCAGCAGCAGCACTAGGTGGTAGGGAACAAGTGCAGCAGCAAGCAGCAGCACTGCAGCAGCAGCACGCGTTAGCTGGCAGCTGCTGCACCAGCTGCTGCCGCAGGTCTTCTCTACGCGACCCCGAAGCCTTGCTTCTGCTGCTGTTGCTGCTTGCTTTGCTTCTTCTGCTGGCATGCTGTCTGTGCATTCCGAGTCTGACACGCTTGCTGCTACCGTTGCTGCTGTTGTTGTTGCCGTTCCTGCTGCTGGTGCTGCTGCTGCTGCTGCACGAACTGCTGCCCGCGGGTGCGGGGCCGCCCTCCTCGAGCTTTCTGAGTTGCTGCTGAAGCTGCTGCCGCTGCGCGGAGGGTGCAGCAGCAAAGTGCAGCTGCCTCCCCTGGGGTTGCTGCTGCTGCTGAGAGCAACAGCAGCATCAGGATCTTCTGCAGCGGCAGCGCCACGTCCCGCTGCTGCTGCTGCTGTTGCTCGCGTTGGCGTGTCTGGAAGGGCGACAGCAGAAAGGTTGAGGACAGCAGAGGCGGGCCGCAGCAGTACATCTGGCTCTCCCTCGTCTGCTGCTGCTGCTTCTGCTGCTGCTGCTGCTGCTGCTGGTGCAGCAGCCACAACAGCAGCACGCCCGGGACGCAAAGACAGAGGCGCAAACCGCCGCCTCCGGGCGTACTTGCTGCAGCGGCGCCACTCGCCGAAAAGGCGCAGCAAAGAGCCCCCAGCGTTTGCTGCAGCAGCAGCAGCTGCTGCTGCTGCTCGTCGCCGCGGGCCCCTGAAGGGCAGCTTCAGGTGCTGCGAGCACAGCAGCAGCAGCATGAACAGGCGC